CTAGCGGGCGGAGGGCTCAGTGGGGGGCGCTGTGCTGCAAGGGGCGGTTGGCACAGTAGGGGGCGCAGTGCTGCAGGGGGTGGGGTGGGGGGCTCAGTAGGGGGTGGGGCGCTGCAGGGGGCAGGGCGGGGGCCACAGCAGGGGGCGGGGCGCTGCAGGGGGTGGGACGAGGGCTCAATGGGGGGCGCTGTGCTGCACAGGGGGCGGGGGGCACAGCAAGGGGTGGGTTCTGACCCATGGCTGCCGTTCCTGTCCCCACCCTCACTGAGCCCTATCGCCATCTCCCCAGCGAACGGCGCCACCCCCAGCCCCGAGCTGGCCCGCCAGACGGAGCAGCTGCAGGCCATGCTGAACAACCTGGACCGGAGCCGCAAGGTGAGGCTCCGCATGGGGCCAGCCCCCTGCTTGGGGGGCTCCGTGGGTCCCTGGGGCAGCTGGATCAAGGCGGCAGTCACCCCTCCCCCCCCCCACACCTTCTCTGGGGGCTGGTTTTCCTGGGTCCCTTCCCCACTGGGTCTTGTCCGGATGTGCCTCAGTTTCCTAGGAGCTGCCTCCCAGCTGGGCTGGGCTCAGTGTCGTGCTGGGAGCTGTGCACGGCCGGTCGCCCCAGGGGGGCTGGTGTGTTCCCCATGGGGTTCTCAGGAGCCGGTAGGGCAGGCCCCCCGTGGGTCACCCGGGGTCACAACGGACACAGTGTCTCTGGCAGGACGTGCTGGCCCGGGCGCAGGAGCTGCTGGGCCGCTGTGAGACGCTGCGGGATTTCCTGCTGGAGGAGCTGGCCGAGTGGAAGGACCGGCAGCGGAGGGCCTGCATCGGGGCAGCCTGCGACACCAGCCTGAGCCGCCTGGAGACCTGGTAGGGGGTGATTGGGGATGCTGCCCCCCCTCCCCCTGGGAGTCTGGGACCCTTTCACCAGCTGGGGGGGGGGCGGGTCAGGCACTGGGCAGACCCCAAAGCCGAGCGCAAACCCCAGGCTGGCTGTACAGTCTGCAATTCGAGGTCCCCAACCCAGGGACAAGGGTGACGCCCCCGGCGTCCCAGCCCGCCCCTGGGGCTCTGCGGCCTGTCTCCCTCCCTCGGCACCGACAGTCCCTTATCGCCCCAATGTTCAGGTGACTCCGCGTCCCCCGAGATCCGGGCCCGGCGCCGGCGGTTTTAGCCAGTCCCGTCCGACAGGAGCCTGCGGTTTATTACCTAGGGAAGAGAAATGAGCGAGTGGGTGCCTGGGGGGAAGCGGGTCCCACGGGCAGACAGTCACAGCCGCTCTCTGGGGACGTCCCCCGGCTGGCCCGGGCTGGGGGTCTCTGGGCCGCCTGGTGTGTATCCCGCTGGGTGACGCGGCTCCCCGGCCCGGAGGGGTCCCCCCACCCCAGGCTGACCCGGCTCCTCTCCGCCCGCAGGTTCACGGGGGCGGCCGAGGTGCTGTTCCAGCTCTGGCGTCTCCTGCGGGCCCTGTGCGACCAGCACATCAAGCTCACCTACCAGCATGACCCGCTGACAACGCAGCGACCCCTGCTGGAGAGCCGGCTGCAGGAGCAGCTCTCCTGCCTCTTGCGGAGGTGCCGGGGGCAGTGCCTGGGAGGTGGGGGGGTGGTGCTGGGGGGCTGGTGCATAGGGGAACAGGGGCTGCCCCTAGGAGTGAGGGAGGAGGTGGGATGATACATGCGGGGGCGGGGGGCTGCCCCTAGGAGCATGGGGCTGCGTGGGGGG